ACACAACTATGGATTTCTTCTCAGCTATAGTTCCAAATAGAGATACAAGGTAGCAAATAATACACAAGAGACCTCTTCAAAAGCAAATCAACAACAAAAGAAACCTGCCCAGAGAAGACAGACACAACCCAAACCCTAGAACCACCGGAAAAGGGCAGAGAGAAGCAAACCGGAGGGGACCGCCGGCCAAACGACGTCGCTAGAAGCTGCTGGGGACGGATGCAGGCCGGAAGGAGCTGTCGCGAACAGCTGTAGACGACTAGGAGAAGACGCGACCTGCTGCAGTGAGGAGATCTGACAGAGGCGCGAGCTGTGGAGTCGCGGACGGAGGTTGCAGGAGGCGCGGTGGACGTCGGACGCCGGGGAGCTGCCGGTCGACGGTGGGCAGGCGGTAAGAAGACGGTATATGCAAAATAGGGTTATCAAAAATGGAACCCTAATACATCAAACCCTAATTCGTGGTAAAAAAATTTTTCCAAAGGTTTTGCAACCCTAATGCTCTGATACCATGTTAATTGATATGGGAAAAATAATATGTTTATTTGAAACGTGAATACATATATATATACAAGAGTTGGGAAGCTATCTAAGGAAACTAAATAAATTAGTATCCTATTCTAATTACACTAATTACATCTATAACATTAAGCTTACTATTTCCAAAACAATTTTAGATTATGCTGACAAGGAATTGAAGTAATGAAGATATATGATAGGCCAGAATTGCAAATTGCTTATAATACTAAGAATTCGTACAAATGCATTTCCATTTTGTAAAAGCAGTTTTTCGACTAGTAGATTTGTTGAGCAATTACTTGAGGCGAAGGTAGCATTTGGGGACTCCTAGAACTTGTTTTACACGGTGCTAGTACAGACTGGCTAATTCAGGGCAAAGTTTAGCTAGGGAGACAAAAGGCAAGAATCTGAGCCCAAATGATTCAAAAATTTTCCTTCAGAATTCATGTCCATTAACAGGATGCTGACTGGGAGGGGAAACTGAATTGACCTAACTTCTGAAAATGATAAACAATAACCAAAAATGGAATTCTCCATCTCATCTCATGTTTTGTCCCTGTTCTTTTCGTTTCAAAAAAAAAAATACAATCTTGAATTCTTTTTATCTTCACTATCTTGTTCAAAATCTTAGACAGCAACATTGACCTCAAAACCAGATCAAAATAACTACATAAGGGTTTGTTTGAGCCCCATTTAAAAAAAAAAATAGATTTTGTAGTAGTGATTTTTTGAAGAATGTGTGTTTAAAACGTAGGAAAACTTTTTGGGTCTACGTGTAAAATTATTTTATCTGGACAATGTGATTGAAAATGAGTGAGGGAAAATAAGTTTTCAAATAATGGAGCTCAAACAGGGACTAAATGAAACTGTAATTCTGGATCTGAACTTACCTGATTTGAGCCAGTTTTTAGATTTCCCAAAGAGACCTACATTTCTTGTCGTGGTAGCTTTTCCCAATGTATGTAACATTAACACTCTTGCAACATGGTTTGGAGAAGATAACTATCTGACATAACAAAAAATAAATTATAGGGTGTGTTTGAGCCACATTATTTTAGAAGAATGTATTTTGGAATAGTAGATTGATGAGAATGTGTAGTTGAAAAAGAAGGAAAAGTTATTGATATGATGGAAAATATTATTTTATTGAAAAATGTGATTAAAATGAGTAGAAGAATGAAAATGAAAATTTTAATGTGGCTCAAACAGGGGCATAATCTTATTTCAGCAGCTTAGTGACATGCTTGATAATATGTTTACTGTCTCATTTTACGATATTGGTATTTGTAACCACAAACTTTCTGATATTGAATTAGCATGGCATTGAATGTATTATGGGATTAACACAATAGATTCTGTGTTCTATTTCTTGCAGACTATCTTGTGACCAAGTGTGGTGTGTTGATGATGTCACTTTTTGTTTTCTTCACAACCACCATGTCAGTTTCATTTACATTGAGAGAGACGCAAACTCGTATGCTAAAGTTTACAGGTTTGTTTGATGGATTGATGTAGTACATCACAGCTACAATTGATAGTTTCACTTTATC